CTGGAAGTTCAAGTCAGTACAATAAGCATAAAAAAGAAATTAAAGGCATAATGATTGGAAAGACATAAAACTCTTCCTATTTGCAGATGTCACAACTGTCAGTGTAGAAAATTCCAAGGATGCTACAAAATCTCCTAGAACTAATACATTAGTTCAGGAAAGCTGTAATCTAAGCCATATAGCGACACAGAGACAGCAGGAAATGGATGAATTTAGAGAAAATAGAACAGTCCAAAAGAGTTCAAAGGAATTATTGAGACAAAGGAAATAAAAGAGGGCAGGAAGGAGAGAAATAGAAAAGGAAAAGAAAGAAAATGAAAGGAAGAAGGAAACTAGGTGGGGGGTGGGGGGGGACGGGGTCCTTTGTTTTTTGAGACATAGTCTCACTTTGTTGCCCACAGTAGCTATGTGGGCATATATAGCATATCATAGCTCACAGGAACCTCAAACTCTTCGGCAAGAGCAATCCTCTTGCCTCAGTCTCCTGAGTAGATGGGACTACAGGCACTGACCACAATGCCCAGCTATTTTTAGAAACAGAGTCTAGCTCTTGCTCAGGCTGGTCTTGTAAGCTCAAGCAATCCACCTGCCTCAGTCTCCCAGAGTGTTAGTATTTTTTGACAGCTATTGAACATCTTACTAATCTCTCAAAGATACTGTAAAGAAAGGGATTAGGGCTCAGGCTGTGGCTCACACCTATAATCCCTAGTGCTCTGGCAGGCTGAGGCAGGAAGATTGCTTGAACTCAGGAATTCAAGACAGCCTAAGCAAGAGCAAGACCCTGTCTCTACTAAAAACAGAAAAATTAGGCAGGTATGGTGATGAACACCTGTAGTCCCACTACAAAGGAGGCTAAGGCAGGAGGATCGCTTGAGCCAAGGAGTCTGAGGTTACAGTGAGCTATGATGATGTCAGTGCACTATACTCAAAGCAACGTCAGTAATTCTAAAATTGAATATATAGGCCTTTATATTACTTGTTTTTCTTTAAACAAATATTCTGGCTCTAATGATTAAAATAAATACATAGATATCTAGATACACATATAGAGTAAAGAGCTGAAATTAAAGACTTCCAAGAAATTTTGAGTTAAGGGTTCCTTATCATTTGCTATTTTTACCATAGGTGCCTAAAAGAACTGTTTTCATCCTCAACCCAACTCCTATGCCCACAGATACACACATGCACAAAAAATAAGAGAATTCTGTGGGTAATACTTACGCCTAGGTACTGAGAAGGAAACCTTGCTGTGATACACTCAATGCCATACAATTGGTATTCTGGAGGATTAAATCATATGTGTAATATTCAGTGAAACCCACAGAATACATGTATACTCCCCCAGGCAAGGATCCTAGTGTGGATGAGGTCTTTCTCCCCAAAGCCAGCACTATAATGAGATTCCACTTCATAGTTGTAATACTGGCTACATGAAGCACAGATTTGCTTTTCTGCCACTACTTTTTTACTTCTTTCCCCAGTACTTTCTGTCTCAGTGTCAACAATTCTTAAACAAATACATACACACACTCACACAAAGTAAAAGCATCCATCTACTTGACCATGACACACATTAACTCTGCTCATCACCAGCACAGAAACAGATGTCATCGTTCTGGTCCCAGCTCTACCAATGACACTTTTTTTAACTACATACCAATAGCATACACAAAAGTACAGAGTAAAAAAGCGAAAACTGTACTATGATTAAAGTTATATACAAATTATACAGTTAAGGGAAAAGGAAATATAACAAAATATGAAAAAAATGGAAAATTATTTGTTTTTCTATTATGTTTTTATTGGTACCACATAACAGCTGAATCATGGTAAATATTATTTTTCCTATTATGTTTTTACAATCATGTGTAAAATAAAAAAGGAAGATTAATGAAAGCATTTTTAGATCACATTAAGCACTTTATACGAAACATGCTATCTGAAGAAAAATTCCTTTGGAATAATAATGGAATAATGATAAGTACACAGCAGAGTGTGAGTCTAAAGCCCTACACTCTGTCACTTGTTCTACCCTCGTGTACCAAGTCACTCTGGGGAAAAGCACTCAAACTTTTCTTTACAACCTCAAGATACTCAAATTTTGAAGGCTATGATGTAAGATCACTAAAAATTCTGAAATAGGTATGATGCAATGAGTGACTTAGAAGTAAGTAAGTAAGTAAACAGACTTCTAGACTTAGAACTAAGTTCTTCCTGGACATTAACTTTTTGATGAGTCTTCATTCACACGTTAAATCCCTCCTGTCACTTCCTCTCCTTCTGGAATCACAAAAAATTACCCACCTGTCCTCAAATATCATCACAAAGGATAGTGAAAGGAATGCAAGAACTGGAAACAAGAGGTCACAACTGACATCACAATCTTTATTTATTCAACATTACTTATTGTACACTGGTCACATGCCAGAGATTCTTCAAGGCACTGAACTCATGCTCAGTGAGAATAAAATATTGGGAAATAAAGTGAATAAAATAAAGTTCACTCCCACTAGACTAAACAAGTACTTTGTAGTAACGATCACTAAGAAGAAAACTCATGCAGGGTCAGGACACAGAGAGCTCCTAAATGTGCCGTTCTGGGTGGCCTCTGTAACGAAGTGATACTATGCAAGACGAGAGCTGCGTGGAGAGAGGGAGAAGGCCACAATGATACCCAGGGGATTCATGTTTCAGGCAGAAGGAATCATAAACACCAAGGCCTCCAAACAGAAGATGCTCAGAATGTTGTAAAGCAGCAAGGAGGCCAATGTGGCAGGAGCGAAGAGAACTTTAAGAAAGAACAGTAGGAATGACATCAGAATGGTGGTAGGTGCTAATCATGCAGAGCCTGGTGGGGTATAGCAAGCCTCTGAGTTGCAGTCTGGGTATGATGGGAAGGAAGCCTTTGGAGAATTTGTAAAAGACGATTGACATGTCCTGATTTACCTTCTAAAAAGGTAAGCCCGGGTGCTATGTGAAAAACAGACTTTAGGCATGGGGAAAGAACAGGAGAAAAGATACTGGTTAGGTAAATACCATAGAGCCCAGGTAAACAGCATGCATGACAGCTGGAACTAGGAAGACAATAGCAGTGATGATGAGAATTACTGAGATTCAGCATGCAGTTTTAAAAGCAAAGCCAATGGGATTAGTTAATGGATTCAGTCTGTATGAAAGAAAGTCAATAACAACTCCATAGTTTCTGGCCTGGGAAAGTGAGTGAATGGAGGTTAAGTTTGAAGACCTAGAAACCCTTACTAAAAAACTAATTCACCTATTCACAAATAGCGTAAGTGTTACTAACATGAAACTGAAAAAGCAGAAGCAGAGACTGCTTTTTACACTCACCATTGGCAGATTGTATCATGTTCCCGGATTTCTGGACTTCATCAAATTTTGTAAAAATTACATTCAACCTGTATGAAAGGCAAAAATACACAGAAACTATTAACTATCACTTTTTACAGCCAATTATATTAAAACACTAATGTGAAGTTGAGCCCTCCTGGCCCCCAAAAGTCAATGATACAAACCCACCTAACAAAAAAACAGCAACTATTTCAGCAACATCAACAATAGTCAATAATAATTAAGCACATACTACAGGTCAAGAATGAGTTCTATGGGTATATCTGGAAGAGCTCGTATAATTTTTCTAACAGCCATATAAAGGTTCTTACCAACCCCATGCCACAGATAAAGAAATCAAGACCCTATACCTTATTTAAGGTAACATAGTGAGGTGGATATCCTAGCCCAGAGAGTGAAAATCCAGAGCTCCTGCTCTCTGATGTTATATTAACTGAGCAGCCCACACAAAGGAGCTGGGCTCGGTGGCTCATGCCTGTAATCCTAGCACTCTGGGAGGCCGAGGCGGGTGAACTGCTTGAACTCACGAGTTCGAGACCAGCCTGAGCCAGAATGAGACCCCGTCTCTAAAAATAGCAAGGCTATATGGTGAGTGCCTATCCCAGCTACTTGGAAGGCTAAGGCAAGAAGTTGCTTGAGCCCAAGAGTTTGAGGTTGCCATGAGGTATGACACCACAGCATTCTACCTAGGGTGACAAAGTGAGACTCTATCTCAAAAAAAAAAAAAAGGTATTCATTCTGAAAACAGTATACTTCTCCTACTTTTAAGCACAGACTGTCAATTACTTAGGATAAAGCTTTTCAAAATGCACAAAATTTAGGCCTGTCAGTGGCTCACACCTGTAATCCTAAGACTCTGGGAGTCTGAGGCAGGCAGATTGCTTGAGTTTAGGAGTTAGAAACCAGTCTGAGCAAGAGCGAGATCCCATCTCTAAAAACTAGCCAGGTGTTGTGGCACGTGCCTGTAGTCCCAGCTACTACTCAGAAGGCTGACGCAAGAAAATTGCTTGAGCCCAGGAGTTTGAGGTTGCTGTGAGATATGACACCATGGCACTCACCCCCAAGAAGAATGAGTGAAACTCTGCCCCCACCAAAAAAAGCACAAAAATTACACTACAAGGGCTTATGCTTACTTAATACTCAATTCAAAAATTCTGTAAATAATTTCTCTAGAAACAAACATGACTAGAGAATCTTCAGCTGAAAAAATTCTGCATCCCATTTATTTTATTAAAGGATCGTTTCACCTTGGCATTGAAACGCCCTACATCCCCTACGTAGTCTGACACATCCTCACCTTCTCTCTAGAGAACTTCAACTATTTCACACACGTTCTGCGTTAGTCTATTCATTTGTTCATTCACTCAACAAATACTTGAATGCCCATTATGTGCCTAGCAAGAGCTAGGTGCTATTTAATCTGTTAAGTTCCTATCCTCTGGAGGTTACATTTTAAGGAATAGGGAAGCCAAAAACACACATCAGCAAATGAAAGGGATGAACCAGCCCAACACACTGCCTCTCCTTATTTCATGGGAGTTATCAGTGGTCATTTCAGGCCAACTTTCCATTAAGCCCAGAGGAGCTCCCTCATAATCCTTCTCAAAACTGCTCCAGGCAGCCATTAGTGATTAACAAAAATTCACTGCCATCTCAGGATCAGATATGAGGAAAACTATCACTCACTTTCAAATCCAGTGGTTATTAAAGACCGAGAAAGATGCCTTAGAATACATTTCTTATGATGTTTCCATTACCTTCCCTTTTAAAAGGGACAAAGATCTCCAATGGCTTGACAAACTCATGAATATTACCACTACCACAGGCTGCCAGGGCAAGCCCTGACTAACATGCCACTTTATTGTGTCACAACCACACCTCTGACGTGAGCATGACTGCAAGTTCCCAAGTTAGACCTGAGCATACCTCTAGCCTGGTTGTTCTGAAATTACTGGAAGAATATTCACCATTAAAAATAGCAACTATGTTAAGAGTCTGTAGATTCTTTATCAGTGCTAAGATCTACTCACTGTGGGCACATTACCCATAACTTTGTAGGTCCAAACAACAAGGTGTAAGAACCCCACCGTTACTGATTCTTGCACCTTAATCCAGAATTCCCTTTGTTGTCACATTCCTATCTTACTAGTTCTCTCCTCCTCTGCTCAATAATGCTGACACAATGGCTTCTATCAAAGTTATCACCTCAAGAGACAGTGTGACATCAACAAGGCATTCCTTAGGAATGGAAGGACTGGCTTTGTCTGAGCACCAAAATACAAAATACCTCTCTTAGGAACTATCAATTTACACAAACCAAAAGGGTGAGTTTTATATGTTCAAAGACATTGAATACATAACTAATTATTACCCTCTGAAGCCACCAAATTTCTTTTGTTTATTTTGAATCTTTGGATTGCAATTTAAAATTAATTTCTTGGGGGGGGGGGGCAAGATGGCCGATTGGAGCCAGCTTTCCACAGAGGCTCCTGTCAAGAAGGAGAGTTAAAGGACAGAACTTTAGCAAGTAAGCTGATGGTTTGGAGCTGAGTCATACCATGCTCATGGCTGGGAAGAATCAACATTGTTAAAATGTCCTTATTACCCAAAGCAATATA